CACCAAGAAAGGGCTGAGACCACAGGGAGAGTCTCCATAGGACCACTCACCTGGAGCCCGCCAGGAAGGAGTTGCTTGACAGCCATCACTAGGTCTCTGAGCTTGTCCTGAGAAGGTAGGCAGTGCTGCAGGGAAAGGGAAAAGTGGCCTCTGAGATTATATCCTTTCCCTAATTCCCCACCCCACCCCTCCACACCTCCGGAGTAAGGCCTCTCTGAAGCCCCCAGTATGACAACATCCCAAGGCTACCAAATGAAAGCCAGGACCTAGACAGTGCACTTGGCCAGGGGAGACAATGGGATGCATCTCAGGCCCACCTATGAGGTCCTGGGCAGAGGATAAACAGCTGAGGACAACAGATTGGCTGCTGCTCTAAGGCAGGGCACAAATGAAATGGGAAAGTTGACACATATATGTGACACAGACACAATGCCTATGTCAGATGATGACAAAGGATAGAAAGAACAGAAGGCAGCCATTGGTGGTAGACATTTTACACTGGACAGCAAGGGAAGATGCTTCTGACAAAGCAATATCAAATCAGAGATCTGGATGGGGTGAAGATGGGCACCATGTGGACCTCAGCAAGGTACACCCCAGGCGAGGGGAGCACAAGTGCAAAGGTCCTGAGGTACAAGCCCACTTGTGTTCACAGAAGGGCAAGGAAACCAGAGGGGCTGAGGCAGAGTGGGGACAGTGAGAGAAGAGGGTGGGTACCTTCTAAGAAAGTCTAGAGAGAGTGATATGACCTGAAATGAGGCCTCTCCAGCTGCTGCTTCGAGAACAGACTGGGGGGCAGCAGGGGAGAGGGACGGGGGGAGGGAAGAGAAATAGGAAAAACAGTTGGAAGTTTCTAGCAATAATCCAGCTAGGATGACAGTCTTAGACCAGACTGGTCGTGACAGAGGTGAAAAGAAGTGGTCAGATTTTGGATGCATTTCAAAGTCAATAGGATTTGCCAATGAATTACATATAGAATGAGACAACAAGATTTTTGGCCTGAGCAATTGAAATGATGAAATTTCTATTTACTCAGATTAGTAAGACTGTAGGAGGGTCTGGGGTGATTATATGTTTACTGTCTTGATTGCAGTGATGGTTTCCCATGTGTATACATATGTCAAAATATATATAAAAAAAAAAATCACACATCTTAAACACCTGTAACATATTGTATGCTAATTATACCTCAATAAAGCTGTTTCTTTAAAGAAAATAAATAAATAAGATTATGGGGTCTAGACCAGTCTGTCAGGGATTCAACCCTGCTCTGTCCCTGGCCAGCTGTGTCATCTTAGGCCAGCAACTTAACCTCTCTGTGCCTCAGTCTCCTGAGCACCAACTCTGCAGGGATGGTTGCGGATTGGATAAATTCATTACACCAGCACAGTACCAGGCATGCTCTAAGCACAAATGACCAGCCAATGTTAGCTGCATGGCAGGACTCTGCTCTGCTTACTGTTTACATGCCCAGGTCCCCACTACACAGGAAGAAACCCTTTCTAACTCTGTTTGCTCAAGGCCCAAATCTGCCTGAGATGTTCTGAGTGAATATGAGTAGAAGTGAGAGACTTAGCAGGAGGCTGTCTCTCCAAGTGGTGTTCCCAAGCGGCCATTGCAGAGCTGGCCAGCAAGGCCTGAGAAGGAGTGGGTGACATGGATATGAGAGGACTGGGAGCCGGTTGCCAGGGAAAAACACCTGAGTTCTTTTCTGGGGTTGAAAGAGCATTTGCTAGGGTAAGGAAAACATAAATCCATTTATGGACAGATAACAACCAGTAACAGCAAGAAAAGAGGAGAGAAAGAAAATGGAAAAGGAAAGCAAAGCCCTGGGGGTGACAAGAGATTTGGTCTGGAGCTTGCAGAAGGGCCCATTGATGCCACAGCACCTGCTGGCAGAAGTAGGACAGAGTGGGGAGGAGACTCACCTTCACTCTTGTGCCTCCAGCTCCCTGCAATTCTCGATGAGTGTGGGGTCCAAGGCTCTTCCCCCTGCTCCAGCCTGGAAATGACATCAGGTTTGGAACCCCGAAGTCCTGCTCCAGAAAAAGGAAGGAAAACCTGACAATTTATCCCAGGTCCAGGGCAGGATGGACCTGTGGTCTGGGCCTGCATTCTGGTTGTGACGTCCCCTGATACCTGGCTTCTAAACCTAGGAGACAGACACAGGCCTCTGCTCACGCTGAAGAAAGGTCAAATCCAGCTATTCTGGGAGCCACAGACAGGACAGAGTTGGGGCCTGAACACATTACAGTAGCAGACTTGTAGTAGGAAGTGTTGATGCCCAGCAGAAGGGCTAAAGGGAAGCAGCACGTTCTAGTACAAGGCAGGCAGTCCTCTGAAATCGAATGAATTCAAATCCCAGATCTGCCACCAACAGGCTGCATAAACTTAAGAAAGTGACAGTATTCGTCAGCCTCAGGTTCATCTAAAAACTGTGTATCCTACCACCAGCCTTCAAGATGCCTGAAGATTGGCCGCGTGTTGTGGCTCACGCATGTAATCCTAGCACTCTGGGAG